CCCGAACTAGATTACCCAATCTAAGCTTCGAACCTTATCACCTTTAATCACTCATAATGCACTTCAAAAATGGCTGTGTGTAATTGATGTGTTGTGAGATGTTGAAGATGAAGATGATGAATCTTGGACACCTATTTCACTCTTTCTTATTCTTGAACACATGAATCAATTTTATCAAATTTTTTTGTGACATAAGTGGTTAAACTTGTATATATAGTACCAAACCAACTAAGGACATAATAGTATTTCAAATAGTAGAGGGAATCATTTAAAAACTGGATTTCCGCGCGAACGGTCGACTGCAGCAGGTCTGTGCGTCGACGCATGGCCTGTGTTGCGGTTAGAATATGATATCAAATTATTAATTAATTTGAATCGCATCTTTAGTTCACAACCGCTCTTTGATTTATCCGAAGGAAAAGGTCAAAAGAGGAAAACCTAATTTTGCATCGTAAAGACAATGCGGGGAGAGATCTAGGTAAGGGGTTGGTTAAGCTTAGGGAAGGTACTAGCACCCTAAACTTCTGTAGTACTCTACAGGAACCTTTTGTTTATTGTATGCTTTTTTTATATTTTATTATTTGTTTTAATATATATTGAGGTAAGGGATAGAGTGACCTAAAGACCTAAGGGTTAGTCCTAAGTTTACTCGGCAAGACGTCGCATCTTGTGCCTACATATCCTGACGGGAATGGAATCAGAGTAATTGTAGTTCCCCTCGAAAGGGAGGTTAGAAACGTCTTGACTGTGGTCAAGGTTTCATTGGGGAGTAAGCGTTCATAGGGAAGCGCCTACGTGGAGTCTTGAAACTCCTATTTCTACGTTGAAATTGTTAATTGAAATTAGGGTTAAATTAAATATTCCACGGCGGGAAACCCTAAAACAGAGTACGGCGACTCTTTGACCTAATGCTAGGGTAAAGGGTATTTTCGTCCACAGCGGGACACCTAGGCGATTAGGGTTTTGAAATGGTCAAACGTTAGGGTTATTGACTCGGCGGTCAAACGGCTAGACCTAATCCTTCGGAAGGAATCCTAACGGTAAAAACATGCAAACAGACAAAATATCGTACGACCGAATTAAAATGCGGAAAAATAAAGAAAGCGGTAAAAGAAGCATCGCGACGATCACTCGCGTAAATTACAAATCCCAAAAACAAATGCAAAAATAAAAATAATTGCGATCATGGCCTCGCATAAATTACATCCATGAAACAAAAAAATAGTACGAACAAATGAAATATTGAGGAGCTGCAACGAACAAACTAATGAGGGTTAGACGAAAATGAAGCGGCTAAATCAAAAACTTTATTTTTTTTTTGAATTTTATTTAAAGGGAAGAACTAATTTTTGCATTTAAAAGGAGAACTTAATTTGATTTTAATGTTTTTATTTGATTAAAAAATGATTTAATTTTAAGGTTTTTGATGAAAAAAAGTTAGTTTTAATTTTTGTAAAATGTTTTAATTTTAATGTTTAAACAATGTTTTAAATTTTAAAGCAAAAAAAATGTTTTATTTTTTAAAGTTAAAAAATGTTTTTTTTTTTAAATTTATTTTTAAGAATGATTTTTAATTTTAAGTTTTAAATATGAGTCTTAATTTTAAAAACAAGGTTTAATTTTAATTTTATGATTTTAGCTTAAAAAATGGTTTAATTTTTTTTTTTTATATTTTAATTAACTTAAGTAAACTAAGTTAATGAGATTAACAATTAGAAATATTTTTATTTTAACAGTTTTCATTAACCTGCATTATGAAAATTATATACCACAGCAATAATAAAATACTAATAACAATATAATAATAACAAAATAAATAAAAAGAATAGGAGGAAGAAAATTGGAAATAAAAGGGGGATTCGTAGCGGTGGCGGCTCCCTCATTGATGAAGTTTTGAAGCTTTTTCTTTTTCTTTTGCATGGCTATTCTTGCATCTTCTTCTTCCTCGCTTCGCCATAATCTTCTCTTTTTCCTATAAAAAAAAAAGAATAACAGAAACCAAATGTGATATTGATGAAATCTTACGAGTTACGGTTTGTTGGTGATTCCGCCGGTGATGAAGCTTTGAAGGTTTTTTCAAAAATCTTCCATCTTCTGATAAGTCGTGAGAACGGCCGCCGTTTTTCTCTTTTGTCTCCTTCTCCTTTTATCAAATGCAACTCATGTTTATATAGGTAACAAATTAGGGTTAACTCTAACCTAATGCCTATTTTAAAGCCCAACTTAAATAATTAGTCAAAACTAAAAAAACAAACTAAAACAAACTTAAAAGAATAAAATCTTTTCTAATATTTTTAATTTTATGATTTTTTGATGTTTTTATGAGTAATATGGAAAAAAGTGAAAAAAAAAATATTTTTTAAAAAATAATTTAAATAAAATACGAAAATAATAATTAAATAATAAAAAAAACTATTTTGTTATTTTTTTTTATAAAAATAGAAAAGTTAGAATAAAAATAAAAGAAAAACAAAAAGTGAAGAAGGTGGGATTTGAACTCTCGACCTCTCACACTCACAACTCCTTACACACGGTCTCTTGCCAATTGTGCCATTTTATTCATTCAAAATAAAGTGGCACTAGAAACTATGTAAAGGTAGGACAAATTTGGGGTGCAACAGCCTGCATTTTTGAAAATCTGGAAAATGTATCAGTATGCGTCGACCATACAGTCGGCGTGCGCTGACCCGTTGAAAAATATTTCCTTCATGCGCCGACCCTATGGTCGACTCATTGCCTTCATGCGCTGACCAGTGGAAAAATGCTCTGATGCATGCACCGACCCTATGGTCGACTCATTGCCTTCATGCGCTGACCAGTGGAAAAATGCTCTGATGCATGCGCCGACCCTATGGTCGACTCATGCCCTGCAAATCTGCAAAAATTGATCTTTGTGGTTTTTCATGCCTCTGGTCATGATTGCATTTTATCTACACATAGTATATTTATTACAACAGTTTTAAGACAAGTATAAAAGGATATGGTAGGTGATACGTTGCATTTGTTTAGTAGATCTGGAGTTTATAACTTCCAATCCATCCAAGGTTGTAATTTGTCATCATCGAAACCTGTATTGAACAATGTCTTACAGACTCGTGTGATGTGTGGCGATTTGCCTCCACAAAATCCTTGACAGTTGTAACATTATATCTCCTTCATTTCAACTTTCTTCCCATAATACTTGTTGCACATGCCTTTCTTGAAAGAATCAGATTCTTTCAGTTCTTGCTTGATTTCTCATCATTAGCAAGATTCTTTCCTTTTTCTTTCCCGGATTTCTTGATGAATCTTATTTGTAATGCCTGTTCAACCACCTTCTGCCTTTCTGAGTTCATCTCCTTCAGCTTCATCTCATGAGCCTCTAATGAAGCTTAAGTTCTTCTAACTTCATCTCAGTTAGGTTCTTGGACTCCTCAATTGACACTATAATATAATCAAACTTTGCAGTCAGAGATCTCAACACTTTCTCAATCTTTTGCAAATTACTGATTGATTCAACACACGACTTCATCTGACTTGTTAGCAACACCACACGTGAAAGATATTCTTAGACTGATCCATCTTCCTTCATCTGATTCATCTCAAATTGCTTTCTCAACGTCTGCAACTTCACCCTTTTCGGTTTTTCATCTTCGTCATACAAGCTTTTCAACTTGTCTCACGTTTCTTTCTCCGTTTATTCTTCAATAATCTTTTCAAACACATTAGAAACCACACACTGGTGAATCAAGAATAAACCTTTTCCATCTTTCTTTCTTTGTTCCTTATGTGCAGCTTGCTGAACATCATCTGCATTCGCTTTCAATTCTGGTACTCCATCCTTCCCAATTTCAAACACATCTTGAAATCTGAAGATGACCTTCATTTACGCAACTCACCGTTCATAGTTATCCTCTTTGAAAACTGGTAGATTCATTGGAAATTGCGTTGACGTTGTTGTTTCGTTTGCATTACAGATTCTCTCTGAATCGCAACCGGACTCATTGATACCAATTTGTTGGAACAAAAGCTTTCAAGAAAGATGAAAAACAGAGAAGAAGAAGAGAGAAAATTGTAAACTGAATTATGAAAATTAGGATTGAGTGTGCTTTTGTTTACATCATATAAAACCCTTTATATAGACAACTAAGTCCTCGTCTCAAACTATACAAACCGGCCCAAGCCCAAAATACACAAAATGTAAAATACAAAATTACAAGTTACATTTCGATACTATTATATATTATATTGGACTCTGTCAAATACAGTTGACTTCTGAGCCTCGAAACCAGTCGAATACTAGCTTTCGACATAGTCCTAAATTACAACTTATAACACAAAAATAATCTTTAAAATGTGAATAAGTGAAAAAACTAAATTTAAAACTTAAGTTCAACCTAAGTATTAAGTTGATAAAATCTAACTAAAATCGGTTAGACTACTCGTTTTCTTTCTTTCCTTTTAATTTAAAAAAAAACACCCATTATTGAATCTAGCCACAACAAACCAATATTTATAGTAAAACATTGGGAAATAATTGAAGTTAGTTGGAGAAGCTGATTGAGTGGATAGAAAATAATTAATAGACTAGATTGGAAAGAATACCAAAAACATCAACCAACTCTTAAAACTGTATTATTCACTCTAATTATTTTATTTAAAAAAAAAAAGATATTTCTATAGTCACTTTATTATCGTCAAACTAAAATAAACAATGTGCATAATCAATCAGCTTTTCACTTTGAACAAATAGAAGAAAAAAATACAAATAATGAAAAAAAAAAACCATCACAAGTTTGATATCTTTAGAACTTCTTCACACATCATTCCAAAACCATTAACCAAATACTAATTACTTGTTTGCTTCTTATTGACTTAAAACAAAGTAAAAATTTCTTTGCTTCTCAATAGAACTCAATGAAAGTTTAAAAAAAAAAGAAAAAAAACAAGCCATGATATGTATCATATGATATCAAATCATATACTATATACATCAAATAAATAAAAATGAATGATAAAATTTATGTACTTCTTGCTAGCCTCTCATGAAATTCAAGCAAAGATTTCTCTTTTTGAAGCCTCATATCTTCACGAAATTTATAGATAAATTCTTCAGCTTTTTGATCCACCTGCATCATTGGAGACTTAGCAACCACAGCTTTCCATGCATCTTCTATAGTATCCATCTCATTGTTCATGCTGTTGTTGATATCATCACCATGCACCTTTTCGATCTCTCTACTTGTGTTTTCTTGCGCATGACGAATACTACTACTACTACTGCTCGGTTTGTTGTAGATAGGGATAGGTGCGAAGTTCTTGTGTTGAAAATGGTAATAAGAAGTTGAGGGGGAATATAATGATTTAGAAGAAACGAGAGAGCGACGATGAGTGGTTTTCGAGGTTATGAGATGAGTGATGGAATGGAAGAGTGAAAGAAGGTGTTGAAGGGTGGTTTTGAAAGCTTTTTGAATGTTGAGTTTGTGGAGTTTTGATTGGAAATTGTTTGAGAGGTTTTTCCATGCTTTTTTGGCTGGTTTGAGTTTCTTTGATAGTTTCAAGCGAGACATGGTTATTGGTACAAAAGTAATGAAAGTGTGTGTGATTGATCTTGGTTGAAAAGAGAGTTTATGAGAGAAAGAGTTTGATTGAGAAGGGTTGAAAGAATGTCCTAAGGAAGAGTTATTCCTATATTGGAAAAGGAAATGGAAATGGAAAAATGATTCTCAATCTCATGAAGGAAACTTTGATGCTTACTTTTTAGTTTTGTTATATTATTATCACTTTGTTTTGTTCTACAAGTTGCAACTATCTTTTTATTGTCTCTACCGATTTGCACATGGTTTGGTAATAGATTTACACAAATGCCATTGTTAAACAATTTCGAATTTAGTCTTCATACTTTGATTGACCTCACAGTCGCGTTACTGTTGAGTCTACGAGGAATTGTCTGCTCTGGCTTAAAGAATATGGATGTAGTATATCAACTACCTTTAGTTTCGATTCTCAAGCAATATGAAACTATTTTGGTGTACCAGAACAATACTGATGGCATGAGTTGTAAAATAATGAAATCTTAGTGATAAAAGTGTAATTTTTTAAGTCCAAGATGATATCACTTTTGATAGAATTGACAGCATGGAAGCAGCCTTGGGGGCTAAGCATGGTGAGAATTAGGAAAGCTAGTTTCTGTAAAGGCAACTAGTATAGGTTTTCCCATGTGGTGTGCCAATGATGCAACTTTTGAATGTGTCTTTTGTAGGGTCCAATTCTTAATCAATGAAAAATTGAAAAGCACCAACGCTCCTCATAACAGAAAGAGAAAAAAGAAATAACTTTTTATTAGTTTAATACTTGAGTATATATATATACACCTTACTATTGACATTAACTTCTAAGTGAAGTAATTAGTATAATAATATATGGATTATGAAAAATTATCAAAACTGTTAAATTCAGGTTTTATATGACTTTTCTTTCTTCTTAAACTTGATAGCTTATCGGTTAATCCCATACTTCAAAACTTGATTATCAACTTGATTATCTGTTAATCATTTGGTTAATAATAGAATAACCAAATGTGTACATGTGCTTTCAATTTCAAAAGGAGATAATGAGAATTTGAATGTAGAAATTTGAATTGACTGTACAAATGAAAAGAGACAAACATTAGCTGGCATTGAAAGTTTAGACTATTTTTTTCCCAATCAGATTAAGCAGTATAGTTAGGTTCTGTTTGGCAGTCAAATAGACAGGAATGTGACCCCTCACATACCACCAGCCACTTGCTTCCACACTTTGATTAGAAAGTGATTGCCACAAGCTTTGTACTTTTCATAATTGTTATGAATAATTAAAATTTTGATGAATGTACATGCAATAATTAATCTATAGAGTATAAACAGCAACACAACCTAACCTTTCTATTAAAAGTCATTAAATATATCTATTTTGGGCCGGCCACAGGCCCAACGACGCCCCATAAGCCCAATTGTCACCCACTGTATAACTCACTCTATTCTAATTCACGGACTGATTTGGGCATTGGAGTAATAATCTTGCAGGTCCACCCAATACAATCGCACCAGAGTAGTTTGCACCACCTTATCAAGAACCTGCGTCAACAATTCTGATTCCTGAACAGAACAATATCATTTAGGAATAGTTGTCTACCCTACTGTAGAGTTTGTTAAATCACATTTGACAAAATTGTGTATCCGGTGCCAGACACGAATATATATGATTATATTCAATCACTACTATATCTTTACGGTGTGTACGTGTCAGTGAGATATCTAGTGTCTCTGTAACTACTACTTCATAATGTAGTGCTTCCACTAGTTTTCCTAATTCTCTACACTTTGTTGATTGGTTCTGCTTGATGTCTCAATATTTCCTTCACCATGAGGCGCGGTGCTAGATGAACCAATAATTTCATTTGGTGGAATATATCTTTTAAACACCCTATCTTTGTTTTTGTTCCACCATCCTTCTGCTTGTTGCTCATTGAATCTTCGCTTACTGTTCGGAGAAATGGAAGGGAAAAAATGATAAATTGTGTTAACGATAAAAAGAACAGAAATAAGAAAAATGATACACAAATTAATAGTATACATACCTGAATCTGACACGCTTGAAAGTTTTGCTACCATCAGATAGTACTATGACTGTGATATAAACGCCGTGTTCGAATTGTTCAATGACTGATGTTTCTCCTTCTTGGACAGTCCTGTGGGACTCGGCTGATCTGGAACTATTTTCCGAGCTTGGTAGAGACACTCCTGTACTAGATGAATATGAGCTGTTGCTTTCTTGCGGAACACTTCCCTCATCTATAGATCGAACAGCCACAGAAACTTCACCATCTCCTTCGATTCTTCGCAGGTTTGAAGATTCGCTATCTGATTCTGATAAATCAGGCGCACTTTGTTGCTCAGGCTCAAAGTTCGATTGGAAGGGAGATTCAAATTCTACGTTTTCTTTCAGAATACATTGAGCTTGAGCTTTGATCTGTTTCAAGGTTTCGGTTTCAGGAATTTCTGGTGGCAACTTTTCAATCACTTCCCTCAACTAAACAAGAACAAATGAAGAAGCATATTTAGCTATTTAGCATAAATAACCTGAAATCCTTATTAACAAACTTTTAATTTCCCATCAGACTCGAGCATTAAGCTTATTTCATACAATAGAGCCTTGGTTGGTTAAACATCTTAATTGAGCACTTATAATATAAGTGTTTATCATATAACTTATGTATAAACTAGCTCTATAACAAAAGATAAGATAAAGTCAAATTCTTTCATATGAGGTATAAGCTGTTTTCATAAGTTATACTCAAATAGTTATTTTAGTAGATAAGCTCAAATAAGTACAATGATGTCAAAATTTAGACCCGAAATACCTCATCTGCTATGGACATGATGAATTCCCTTGCCTCTCTATGCTTAGAAGATTCTTCTCCAGCCAATTGATTGGCTTCTTGAATATTTTTCTGAAGCTCATGAATCTTCATATCTTTCATGTCACCTTTTTGCTTTAAACTTCGAATCTTTATGTAAGAAAAGAAGTATTCATATAATTTATTAATGGATTTCTCAGAGAATAAAATAACTAATTATAAGGGTTTCAGTTTGATTAGTTATAATATGGTTTACGAAACTTACATGGTTTTGCAACTTTGAGACTTCTTGATTCAAAAGCTCATTTTTCTTCTTTAAATTATCAATAAGGCTTCTTGAAAAGCCAGGGGAGATAGAACGTGTCGGGCTTGGCGGTCTTCGTGAATATGGAGAGGTTGGTCTTGGATTAACCAATGAAGATGGGATTGGGGGATTACTTTGCGGCATAATAAGAGGTCTCGAAGCATTCTGCATCGGACTTGATGAGCCAGGAAATATGACATCTTTTAATTGTAAACCCAACGGAACTTGAGTGTCTCTGGCCACGGAAGACAAGTCATGTGCACTTCCAAGCCCGTTACTCCTTATGTCAAAGTATTTCGCTAGACCAGTGGCGGAAGATAAGAGAATACTTGAAGTCCTTACCTCTCCCTTGTCATATCTTTCCCTTCCATAAGTGGAACTAGCAGGACGAGTAATTTCTCGATTAAAATTGGAACTGTTACCACTATCAGAACCTTTAAGCTTAGTATAGCAAGGGTCACACACACGATGCGGTTTGCTAGGTGTTGGAGCCAATGCTGCTTTAAGGGCTTTTTTCGAACTACAAGGATGGCAATACACCAATCCGCAATGATAACAATTATGTCTTTTTCTAGTAAAACCGAATGGTTGTCTGCAACCGGAGCAAACCGATTGGTCATTCCCAGAAACCCATTTATGTATGCATATACAAGTCGTAAAATTTGCGCCACATGCAATATTCTTTACATGCCTTTCTTTCAAGGCTTCCACCAATGTTGGAGTTTTCTGATCTTCTACGTCTCCATGTCCTAATCTTCCATTGGCACCTCTTCCCCAAGTATATAGTTCACTTCTTGAAGTCAATACCGCAACATGATGAGCCCCGCACGATATTTCCTCAACAGTTTCACCCTGTAACTTATCTCTTACTAGAATCGGCACTTTTCCATCAGAGTTTGGATTTCCTAGTTGACCATATGCCGTGCTTCCCATACTAAATACATGACCGGATGCGGTTAGTGCAACAGTCAAACTATGCCCACATGCAACCTGGTGAAAATTATACTCAGCAAGTGCAGTCACACAAGTTGGTTGAAGGTAGGTTTCCTTGTTAGCATGACCTAAACGATATTGATCGCCATCGCCCCACGTGAATATCCTCTTTGCCGAAGAAGTATTTGAACCTGATTGATCAGTGACCTCTATAATGGCTGCCGTGTGCCACACTCCACACGCAACCTGAATAGCCTTATGTCCACTAGATAACTGTACCTCTTTTGGATACGACACACTCTCTCTATCTCCATGCCCCAATACACCAAGAATTCCATCGCCAAAAGTAAAAAGTTTTCCATAGGAAGTTATCAATGCTGTATGCCATGAACCACATGCTATAGATACAACCTGATGTCCTTCTAAAATTCCAGTGACACGCTTCGGTATACAATGGCTAACCTCAGTTCCATGGCCTAAAATTCCAAAGTTATGTGCACCGTCACCCCAGGTGTATAAATCCCCGGATGTAGATACCGCACATGTATGATATTCACCACATGCAACAAAACTCATATTAGTAATTGCTAAGGACTCGACAAGATTTGGTTTACTAAAATCTTTATCAAACCCATGTCCAAGTCTTCCACCAGAGTCCTCTCCCCAGGTAAAAATCTCTCCTTGCCGTGTAACTAGAGCAATGTGATTTACACCAGGTTCTATTATATTAACATCGAGAACAACATTAGACTCTAATGGTTTAGGAATCAGGAAATCTGTCTTGGAAGGGACTTGACTCCCTAATCCGTCAGAGGAATTCCCGTCGGCCCAAACCTCTCCCCATATGAAAACGTCGCCTAGAGATTCTATGTCATCTGGCCCTGATCCTACACTACTTACATAGCTAACACCCGACACACTAACACGGGAACCAT